AGAGAGAGTGAGAGAGGGAGATTGGGAGAGAGAGATTGGGAGAAAGATTGGAGAAGAAGACTGGACATGAGATGAATCAAATTATTCAGGGTTCATGATGTTATTCATCAGATTACACAGAGTGAAAAAGAAAAACCGAAAATTAAGAAAAAAAAATCTGACAAAGTTGAAAAAAAGGAAGAAAAAAACAAAAGGGAGGAATGGATCAGTTTTTCTTACTTTCCTGAAATAACTCATCTTGTGATCAAGGAATCTGCAGTCTGCATCTATAAACAAGATAACAAGAGAATGGTAAGCAACCAATAATGCCAGATATATGCTACCAGAATTAACAATGCCCCAAAGTAGCATCCCCTTGATTTTGTAGCCTCAATCACTGGCACAATTGATAATCTACTGTTAATGTTGACAGAAGAGATGTTCTCTATGTATATCAGCATTTTGCTTATTTATTATATACGTGGACTAAAATTCTTACCAACTTCTGTTTTATAACAACTTTTATAATAAAAAAACTAGGGTTTTTTAAATTTGAGTTTGAGGTTTCCCTAGCACCTCGTTACCTGCAGCAAAAAGTATGTGTGGAATAAATGGAATTTCTTAAGAGATTATTATATATTTTATGGGTCTCATGAGATTCTGTAATGGAATGTTGGATGACTTTGGGGAATGAGGGGAAAGGTTGCTGCCTAGGAAACAATCAACAAGAGAGGTAGGAACCCCCAGTGGCTTAACTGTCAGAGAAAGAAACCTAGGAAAGACCTAATGGATTAAGTAGTCAAAAGTGGCAGTCGGAAGTTTATACTTGCAGATTTGCAAGATTGATGTCAGCTCTCTCAGATAAACCAGACAAGAAATATGACTAGATGAATTCTATTTATTGTAAAGATTAATGGAATCTTGCAACGTTATCCATACATTCCATTACTAATACCAGGCAAAAATACTGAAATTTTCATAAGCAGTCATTTAAAAACAACAACAACCTGCGTTGGTTACCTGTTTTAGTACACAAAAGACAAATATACTTAGAAACAGATAAAGTTAGAAAAGAGGGCACACCTATTATTTCAGCATGATATAGATAAAATGTCATTCCTGTTTTCTTGCTTATATTGTATTTTTTCCCAAGTTTTTAGAAGTTAAAAGATGTACATTTAGTAAACTGAAGTTAAATCCCTGCCCTTAGAGTAGTGTTTCCCAACCTTAGCAACAAGATGAGTGGACTTCAACTTCCAGGATTCCCCAACATCATGGGAGTCATCTTAAAAGTTCCTTAAATTGAGAAACACCATTTTAGAGAACAGGTAATCCTCGACTTACAACACCATTCATTTAGTGACCATTCAAAGTTACAATGGCACTGAAAAATGTGACATGACTTTCACACTTATGACCATCGTATAAGTGTGAAAGTCAT